TTCTATCCTCCAGGAGCCTCTGCTGTGCTTCCAGCTCATCCTCCCAGTGGCCACTCCCCACTCCTGTCTCCCTCTCCCAAACCTCCTGCTGTTCACAGCATCAGAACATCATACGGTTCTAATTACACCTGTCAAACTCAGACACTGGATGGGGGTCCCTTCCCAGGGTTATTACAATGTTACCTGAATGTATACCAAAAAAAAAAAAAGGTATATATCCCATGTGCTTTGAATGTTACAACTGCAACACTGAGCCAAGTTTGCAAATTAAGTACCATTTATTCAAACTATTGTCATAAAATTCAAATTATCATCATGTCTCATTTAGACAGTGTTTTCTGGAAACTAAATCTCTGCTTGTCATGGAATGTGGTGCCACTTTCTATAGCCCAGGGTCTGTGGGATCAGTAGCCTGTGGGGCTGGGTGACTTCGTTCCCACATCTCTTCTTTCCACTGTGGGTTAGAAGCTGCCCCAAAATGTCCTTTGACTTTCCCTTGGTGGCCTGGGGCTCAAAATTACAAATGTAAAAGAACAACTACAAACTCTAGGTCAGTTGGGAGTTGCGTTTGAATCACTATATTAAGAAAAATATAGTGGATTAAACTGAGCCAAGATGCATTTCTCTCTGACATACTGAGAGTCTAGAGTGGGCAGTTCCGAGTCAATGTGGTAGCTCCACCATGGAAGGGAGGGCCAGGCCTCTGGACGGAGGAGTCTCGCCTCTTGAATGGCACCTACTGCGTCTGTGGTCAAGAGGCAAATTTGCAAGACAGTTATGAGCGCAGGTCTAGAACCAGAGCCTTTGTTCAAATACCTGCTCTGCCACTAACTAGCTGTGTAACCTTGAGCAAGTCACTTAACCTCCTTGTGCCTCAGTTTCCTTATCTGTAAAATGGAAAAAAATACTAGCATCATCCTTGTAGGGCAGGAAGATTAAGAGATAAGCCTTGTGAGGTACTTAGCACATGACCTAGTCTGTAGTAGGTATTTTATAAATGTCAGCACCTCCCTTCTCCTTGCCTGGGGTGTGTGGTGTGTTTCTGAGGTTAACATAGCATTACCAAACTTGTTGCCGTGGGGTCAACTGCAACTCATGGCGACCCCATGTGTGTCAGAGTAGAACTGTGCTCCTTAGGGGTTTCAGTGGCTGATTTTTCTGAAGTAGATCTCTAGGCCTTTCTTCCAAGGCACCTCTGGGTAGATTTGAACGCCAACCTTTTGGTTAGCAGCCGAGTGCGTTAGCTGTTTGTACCACCCAGGGACTCCAACATAACATTAGGCTGTCAGTACTAACCTGACTCAATGATGTTCAAGCCATGCAGATTATGTGGGCATCTCCAAGGTAGGCAGGGCATGGCGTGTTAGGAGAAGAGCAAAGGTGCTTTGAAAGGTATATTCTAGATTAATCATCACTTTAATATTTTAAAATTATATTAAAATTCCAAATAACATTAAAAGAAAGTGTGAGATTTTATGTTTTTCAAAAGGGGCTACACATTCAAAGTGGTTTAGAAAAATGTTTCTTATCGTTGGAGGAGTCCAGCCGTAATTCTAATACTCATTCACTGATTCCCGTGTGTTCCTTGTTTTACGTCCACTGACAAATGACATTAAGGCTCTGAATACCATTCTGAGTTTTTAAGCTGCCAATTTGCAGGGTGAGAGGTAAGATCCCATTGTCTTTTCCTTTTGCCCCCCAGGTGACAGACCTCTTGGTGGACGAGTCTAGTTTTACTGGAGAAGCTGAGCCATGCAGTAAGATGGACAGCCCCCTGCCAGGCGGGGGAGACCTCGCCACGCTGAGCAACATCGTTTTCATGGGCACGCTGGTGCAGTGCGGGAAAGGCCAGGTGAACCCGGAGCCCGCAGGGCCATGGCCTCCCCTCCCCAGCATGCCTCCAGCCCTCTGATCTCACACTTCTCTTTCCTCAACACAGGGCGTCGTGATTGGAACAGGGGAGAGGTCTCAGTTCGGAGAAGTCTTTAAGATGATGCAGGCTGAAGAGGTAAGGGGCTGTGGGGGCTCTGGTTTCTTATAACCTGGGCTTTAAGATTGGTCTCGGCTAGTGTTACCAGTCCTTCCCACCTCTTAGGAATGAATATAATGTGGATAATATGACTACACTTTTTTTAAGTGAATTTTATTTTTAGAACAGTTTTAATTTACAGAACAATTATATGGCAAGTTCAGAGTTCCTGTGTACCCCCTCTTGTGCACACTGTTTCACCTATGACTAACATGGAGCATTCCTGTGGCACATTGTTACAACTGATGGACAACTCTTGATACATTAACTGAAATCTATACTTTGTATCAAAGACGCTGATGGTGCAGTGGTTAAGCACACAGCTACTAACTGAAAGGTCAGCAGTTCGAACCCATCAGCCACTCTGCGGGAGAAAGACGTGACAGTCTGCTTCTGTAAAGATTACAGCCTTGGAAACCCTGTTGGGCAGTTCTGCTCTGCCCCGTAGGGTCGCTGTGAGTTAGCATCGACTCGATGGCATCCAACAACAACACAAGATAGTTCACGTTAGGGTTTGCTCCTTGTGTTGTCCAGCCCTATGGGTTTTGACACATGTGTAATGTCACGTGTCCACCAGTGCAGTGTCATGCAGAATAGTTTCACTGCCTTAAAAATGCCTTGTGCTTCACCTCTTCATCTGTCCCCCTCCCACTGTGAGTACACTTTCTGAAAATTTTAGTACAAAATGTGTTAGAATGTTTACCATGATAAAACCTATAGACAGTAAGGTGACAGTGTCAAGTATAGAGGTCAGTGAACTTTCACACGTGTGTGCCCCTGCATAACCATCACCCAGGATAAGACAGACCTGTACAGGGAGTGCATTGTGGAGAAAGCCCCACAGAAACTGGGGGTGCTGCTGGGGTCTCGTCTCAGAGACCGACTGTTCTGACCCTTTCAGACACCTAAAACGCCCTTACAGAAAAGCATGGATAAGCTGGGGAAGCAGCTGACACTCTTCTCGTTTGGCATCATAGGTGAGTGAAGCCGTGTCCGTGCTGGGGCCTGGGGATGCGGTGGGCCATCCTGGAGTAGCCGTGTCTGTTTCTCAAGTATCTTGCCGCTCACCTGAGTGAGGATTGGGCTTGGACACATAGACTCTCCGACAGCAACAAGAGGCTTCTGTCTCAGTCAGATCAGGCAAACTGCTATAACAAACAGCCCCTCCATTTAAATGGCTTAACTGTTTAAATGCGGTGGTGTGGTGGTTCAATGGTAGAATTCCCACCAACCATGCAGAAGACCCAGGTTCAATTTCCAGCCAGCACACCTCTTGAGCAGCCACTACCCATCTATCAGCGGAGACTTACATGTTGCTAGGATGCTGAACAGTTTTCAGTGGTGCTTCCAGACTAAGACAGACTAGTACGAAAGACCTGACAATCTACTTCTGAAAATCAGCCAGTAAAAACCCTATGGATCACAATGGTCTGATCTACAACCAATCATGGGGATGGCACAGGGCCTGGCAACATTTTATTCTGTTGTACACGTGGTCACCATGAGTCGGGGCCAACTCAACAGCTACTAACAACAACAACCACGTTGATAAGCATGCATTTCTTGCTCACACCATGGGGCTGTTCCTGGCACTCCTGGGTAGCTCACCTCCAAACGCTGGCTCAGGCTCAGGCTCCTACCATATTGTTGCTCTGCCTTCCTCTAGGTCCTTAGAGGCCATAGTTCTATTCAGCCAGCAGGGGTGGGCAGGGGGGGAAACATGAAAGATTGTGGGGGAAGTTTTTAAGGCCTGAACCTGGAAGTAAGTCTTCACTTTTACCCATTTTCTTTTGGCCAGAATGGAGTCATATGGCCTACCTAACCACAAGGAAGGCTAGGAAATGTAGTTTAGCTGAGCACCCAGCCATGTTTCTATGCTACTAAGTGGACTATGCAGGGGGCACTGGTGGCTCAGCGGTAGAATTCTCTCCTTCTGCGCAGGAGACGTGGTTTCAATTCCCAGCCAATGCTCCTTATGCACAGCCACCACCCATCTGTCAGTGGAGGCTTGCATGTTGGCTATGATGCTGAACAGGTTTCAGCAGAGCTTCCAGACTAAGATGGACTAGGAAGAAAGGCCTGGCAATGTACTTCTGAAAATCAGCCAGTGAAAACTCTATGGATCACAATGGTCCTATCTTCTCATGCATGGGCTTACCATGAGTGGGGGCCAACTGGTCAGCAGCTGAAAACCGCAAGCAGCAGGTTGTGCCTGGCCGTCAGCCTCCTGGCCTTTGGCAGCACACCAAATAGCACCTCGTAGTCTTAATCCTCAACATCCCCATGAGGCTGCCCTGTTCCCCTCACCGGCTCCTTCCTACTGTTCCAGCTGTGGCCTTGGTTCCTTTTGTTCTTCGTTCCCTGCCTTCAGGATCAGCCAGTGCGTGGCCCAGAGCAGATCCTCAACAAAGACTTGTTAAATAAATGAGTGAGTGAAAGAACAAACCTACAACCACTGCCCATAGCACAAGCAGGGATGTGGGGGCATTGGTGAGTCTAGCTGAAACTGAGGAGCCAGAGATAGTTCTTGGGAGAAACACGGACGCTCCCAGCAGCACTTTGTTGTGCATTAATTCATTTAGCAAGTGTCCTGTGACATGCCATACCCTGTGCTCAATTCAAGGGCCACCAAGATGAGTGGAACACAGTTTATGCCTTTTGAAGGCCCCCAGTGCAGTAGGGGAGAGACGCCAGAACAAATATGGAATGCTAAGGGAGCAGCTGGTCTTCTGTGGGAGAGCTGGGAAGGTTCCAAGGAGGATGTAATATTAAACTCTGAACCCCACTCTAGAGATCTGAGGCTACCAGAAAGAGATTACGCTGTAATGATGAGTACTGCTCTTCCTATCTCAGCACCTCCCAGGACAAATACCAGGGAAATGAGCTTCAAGTCAGATTGTCAAAGAAGATAGTATTGACAGGCCTTTCCACAAGATGAAATTTGTTTTTGTTAAAAAAAGGTTCTGAGTCTGAGGTCCTGCACAGCTGTTGCCATCGGAGGCCCTGATTCTTCAAGTTAAATTAGAGCTTAATTAAACTGGCA